AAGGATTTTCCAAGAAGGTGAAGAGGCAGCTGCTGTGTTAATTTTCCTAACATCAAATTGAAAGCCATTTTCTCAAAAATTTTTTATTTTGCAACAAAGGCATTTTACAGTGGAAGATAATTCTGATGGAAAATTCACAATGGATCTATGTTGTTGTATCTATTTCATTTGTTTCTACGTTGAATCCCATACTTGGGACGAAGATTTATATCTCTGTTGCGTTTTGGATACTGCATATGCTCAAAAAATCATTAGACTTTCAGATTGCCTAATTTACATATATTAAAGCTTTCCAATCAGTCTCAACTCTGATAAACAGCAGCACCTTCTAGCAGAAATTTACTTGCTGTTTGGGTTACTACAAAGCTCCCAGTGTGGAAGTGTGTTACTGTTACATGTTTTGGCGTCAAAATTTGAATTCATACTGGCAATGATAGGTGCATGTAAATACATCTTTGTAAACATAAAGCCTAATTAGGACCAAGGGGACAAGTGATTTCAAAATCACTTTTCATTGGGGATAGCCAGTTGGTTTGGGTTTGGTTTTTTTTTAAATTAAAAATGGTAGAGATTTAAAAAGATAAAGTTTTAACATTTTGAAGTGGAGCACCAAAAAAATCTCCACCAATAATCTTCCTAGGCCATGCCTTATTTTTCTTCTAAGTTTACCATTGTCAAAAGCAAAAGAAATCCAGATAAACAGAAATCAATAGTGAACTCCAGGAAGCCTTTCTCATTTCACAGCTAGACTTCAATTAGAGAAAGCATTTCCCATTTTTCAAGTTACCTTAAATTAGAGATGTATGTGAATTTATAACAATACAGTTACGAAAATCCTGTGTGTCATTTAAATTCATGGTTTCCAGGGATATTATATATATATTTTAGATCAGTCAGCTACTAATTGCTTTGTGCAAGGAGATGGACCTTATGAAGGTTAAGGCGCGTTCTGAAGTAGCTCATGTTTGGAGTTGTGGTCTATGCCTGACTGCCACACTTTTAAAGGAAGACTGAGTGGAAAATCTGTCAAATTTAACTAAATGCAGTAACTTAGGTCTGACTCTTTATGGTGTAGCTGCAAACTCCAGTCTGTCTAAACTCAAAAAAAGTGTTTTCTGTGCAGCTTATTGATTAGGACATGTAGGCTGTCCGCACTAGATATTTGGAAGTTGTGTTTCAGACTAGCTCTAGCTTGGTCCCATGGACTAAACACCCATTGTTATTTGAAGCAATTTTAAGTTTGTGCCTCTGGTTCAGCTTTATACCAAGGGAATCTCACTGGTGTGATGCAAGGCTGCTCCATATTACAAACTAAAATACAGTAATTTGCAAACCAAAATACAGTAAATGGGGACAATCTTGAGATTTACTTCAAGGGTACACTCCTGATGAAAACACAAATGTAGTTTCATACTGAGCTCCTCTCAACTCTGTGTGAATGTTGCAAATAAGACGGTATTTTTCCTGTAAAAAAGCACTTTATCTAGTGCCTTAAGGAAACACTAGCTTCCTCTCAGTGCTGTGATGTGTGACGTTGACTTTGCTCACCAGGACACTATCTGTATGTGAAAGTAATCGTTGTAAGTATAACATCTGGAATGATGGCAAGTCCAAAATTATATTTGAAGTTAGCAAAGGGCTCTTTGTTGTAGGCCTGCTGCTTTATTTTCAGAAACATTGTAATCGGGCTCTTCTATAATGATACTTCTCTGAAATACTTGGTATGCTTGGCTTCCAAATATCTGAAGAAACAGAAAAATGGATGTATAAATTAGGAAAAACAACTTCATGCAAAAAACCTCATCCTTCTGGTTTACAGTAGTGTGAAGTGACCAGAATATAGACCAGTGTTGCTTTCTGTAATAAAGCAATACTCTTTCATTATTGTTGTGAGGGGTGCAACAAACAAAACACAACTTTCCTCAGCTCTGTGGGTTGCTGCAGGAGCCTTCAGACCCAGGACTCACAGGAGTGGCTGGTACTGCTATTAAAACAACTGAGCTAAGGTCTTGTTATGGGACTGTTAGTTGGTTTTAGCAGAATATCTATGTATTGAGTAATAGCCTTGATGAGGATGATCATTTTCTTCCTTGCAGATGTACTAGAAGCTAAGCAACAATCACAAAACAATCTGTCATGAACTAAAAGCATACTCCAATTTAACAAATTTGTCACTAATTTTAATGATTATTTTAGTGTGGGTGGTCAAAAACAAAACAACAGAGCAGCACAAGAAGTAATTTTCAAAGAACTTTAAAAAATTTTAAATTTTCAGCTCTATGTTGTTTGTGCATTCATCTAAGCCAGGTGAAATGAATGAAGTCATCTGCTTCCTCAGGAAATAAAGTCTCACTTTAGCAGCAAACTCAGTAAAGTTACTAAATTCTTACAAAACTACTGAGTTACAGCGTAAGAAGAGACTTCTTTAGCACTGGGTACCACACAGTTTCCGTGACCCAGCATAGCAGGAGCTGAAGAAAACAGCCTGAGGCAAAACCAAGGCCAGATACACTTAAGCCTTTCTATAAAAGTTCATAAAAGCTAGCAAACCTTGATGCAAAAGAGAAACCAATGTCAAGTGTGTCAAGTAGGCTGTTTTGGCCGTGGTGGTTCAGAACTATTCCAAGCTAACTGCAAAGGGCCAGTCAGCTACTCTGTTAACTCAGCACACCCCAGAATTACATGCAGTTGTTCCCCAAAGTCTCAAGCCTGGGTGCCATGTAATGAATGCAAATATCACTTCCACAAACCATCTCGCTGTAAAAAGCAGTTCTGACTCGTGATGTTGTGTGGGTAAAGCATCACCACTAATAGAGCCTGGAATTTTAATCTGACGCACATCCATCCAAACTGAGCAAAGATAAGGGAAAGGCAAGTCCTCCTCCACTAATATTTTGGGTTTCCTGCAACTGAGCAAGCATAGCAATGCTGATGGTAAAGCCCTGTGAATTCTCACAGTTCAGCATTTGTTTAAGTAATTCAGGGCACTAGACAGGATCCCTGACAAGATGCATATTCCTCAGCAGAGGCTGAGTGCATCTATTTATTCTCTATTTGTTCTTCAGGCAATTTTGTTTCTTTTATTTATGTTATTGAAAAGAGAAATGGGGCTGAATTTCCTATGTGTAACACCACTGAAGTTAGTCAGATTGCACCCACATCAGATCAGAATCAGATCCATAATTTTTTCCTGCCAAACAGTCACCCACTCACCCTGCATTTGGAATTACTCACTGAGGAAATTACTGGCCTAGGCCATGCTGAGTTGTTTGACTATGAACCAAACTTAGCAACTTGGGTAGACAAAGAGTACAAATTAACAAGCAGGAGTCTTTTAATGATCCAAACTAACAAATTAAACAGGGGGTGATATAAATTACCATACGATATTTACAGCCTTTTTAATAGAATTGAAGTGAAATGTAAGAAGTGTCATTTTCTGGACAGAACAGATAAAAGATAACTGTTCTAAATATCTGCACAGCAGTATACGTAACCAGAGGGAAAAAGGACTTTCCTGTAAAATCTGTAATAGATCCACAGAGACACATAAAATTCTAGAATTAGAATTGACCCTAGGAGACTTCAGTAGTTTTATGTGTTAGAAGTTCTACAGCCACAGGCTAAATGGGAATAAAGAGCCAAGCTTAGTCTAAGATTTCCTGGTGGGTTGATGGCATCTCAGAATTCACAAGAAAATCCCAAGTTAAGGAACTGATTCATAACTTATGCAAGACAATTTAGTACTAGAATACATACCAAAGTAAAAGAATAAAGACTTGCATTTGGGCTCACCAATTTAAATTAGACTGTAAGTAGCCTCATAAATTACAAAAGTATTACTAAATTTTAACCATTTAATATTTAATTTCATTGCATCTGGTGTACATTAGTCCAGAGGACAGATTTCAATCTAATTGAATTCACTGACAAAAACTCCAATTAAACAAGTATTTGCTGAAAGAAAATTCCTGCTGAAACCAATACAAGCTTTTGCTGATTAATTATTTGTCCTTTGTAACTTAGCTAAATAACTTCATTGGAAGATGTATCTGATAATATCATTCAATCTGATGAACCGTTTTATTCAAAATGACAGATTTTTTTAGTTCTCATGCATATTGTTATCAGTTAATGATGGAAATCCTTACTAGCATAGTTCTAAAACAACTGAAGAACAACCAAAACCCACCATGCTGTTGGCTGTGATACTGTGGTTTAGCCTGATGAATAAGTTTATTATCCTACTTACAGGATACTACATGAAACATATAAATATCAGTGCTTCATTTATTTATGGCCCAATTATAAAATAATCCTCTTTTATGTATTGAGATTTATGTACACATTTACAGTACTCCACATTTTTTTAAAAAAAGAGGTGGTGTATACTTGTCTTCAGTAATGACAGTTCTCTGGTTTTTCTCACTGGCTGATATTGGAGAGCTGTATGAGGGAAGTCATCCTCAGTTTCCTTTCATAGAGGATAAGAGACCATCTCAAGGTGATGCTATGTGCAGCTGGAGAGAGTTAACAAGTCTAAATCTCCTAAGTACCAGTTTAAAGTTCTTTCCAGGTGACCACAGTGAGGCATGTGAGACGAGTTTCTCATGTTCATAGTTTGGGTTTTTGCTTCTGTTTTCTGTGAAAGTATTTTCTGTTGCTGCACAGAAGGTACAAATTATTTTCACTACAAGGATTTCCATCTTCCTTTTTAAAAGGTGAAGGGGATGGGGTTTTTTGGTGGTTTGGTTTGTTTTGTTTTTTTTTAATTTTGGAATGATAGGTGCTTAACTTTAAGATTCTGGATGTGCATGAAGAACTTGGCTGAGAGTGACAAGACCAAGTATAGATGAAAGGTACACTGGAAAATGAGCTGACATGCACAGTTGTAAACATCCTTCTCTTCTGGGATCATCTGCTGTGTTCAAAGAGGTGTAACTGTGCCTGGGATAGTGATGGGAAAACTAAACTTGTTCTTTCCTTTCTTTGTCCTGCAGATGGAAAAATGAACAAAATTAAATGGATTTTGACATGGCCATTGATATTCGTGCTCTTTTGCACCATTCCAAACTGCAGTAAACCACGCTGGGAAAGGTGTTTTATGATGACATTTGTCTTATCCACGCTCTGGATTGCCTTGTTCTCCTACTTCATGGTGTGGATGGTAAGTGCATGTAGAAAGACTTCTTGTATTGAGTGAAATGTGCATCTCAAAATAGATAATAGATTTTCTGTGTGTGTGTTAAAGAAAGACATGTAATTGTAGTTCAGTCTCTTCAGTTCATACTCTTACTATTATAATCTTAGCTTTCTGCTGCTCTTTTCTGCACAAATAATTGGACCTTTACTGTATAGGACCCAATACAGTAAAGGAAAGTCCCATCCTGATTTTCAAGAGAATGTGGACATCCGCATCCGACTAGTAAAAGGGAGTATAAATGAAAATGTTTAACTCTCGGCAGCTGAGCCACCTTTAGAACTTTACAGGGTCTGATACTGAAACATGCAGGAAAGGCAGATGGATGGCAAAATTTAAAGATTCAGACGTGGTGCAAAACACCTCAAGTAGACAGAAATAATGCAAGAAAATCCTTTGTGAAGAGTTTTATGATTGCTGGTATGTTTCCATGTGCCTTACATCTGTGAGAAGCAGTGTATCAGGTGTAGATCTGTAAATTGTTGTCAGTTCAGGAGCACATTTACTGGAAGATTTGAATAAGTTCCTATTTTTTTATTTCTTACCCTCTTTCTCAAGTTTATGTTTACAGTCAGAGAAGAGGCATGAATAGGAAAGCTCCTCAAATAGTTTCTGTGATGGAAAAGTAGCCAAGTATGGAAAGGTAGCTTTTTCTACACTAAAAGATGGAAAACCCAGAAGTTGTATATACCTATAACTAGAGTATTGGTAGGATGTGCTGCTGAAGAATTTCTGTGCCTGTTTTTCCCTTTTAAAGGAAAATACAGTGAAGAAACCTTCAGCTGGTTTCATACTGGAATATATATAATCTCACATACATACACTCGTAGTCATATATATATATATATATATATATATGCACACTCTCCTAGTCATGCATATGAAAGAATTTTTGTTCATGAGCTTCTTACCTGCAAAATCTTTTTTGAGTGGAGAACATCACTACTATATTTATGTTTCCTCTCATGGAAGGTTGTGTACTCTATATACTTTTTGCAACTGTCTATCCAAGTTTTGCATTGTGAAGTAATCCTCTTTTCTCTTAACGTAGACTGCGTTGGAAAAATTCATATGCCAGCCAGTCATTCTGCCTGGCATAATGGTGCCAAAGCCACACATTCGTTTCATACCATATGTCCTTTGCAAGACCATGCTCTGTACCTTGGTTCCATTTGTAGATATCCCCTTTACAAATGAGAGATGTGCTCATGAAGGCTGCAACGCAGCTTATTTTAAGAGGCAGCCAGACTTTAATACCTTGTTGCCACTTGCAGCAGGAGAATCATGCCTGCTTCTATTTCTGAGTCACAGCTTGCCCCTGAGAATAAGGTTTGTGAGCAGGTTCCTAAAATACGCCTTTTCTTTGGTGAAGGGTCCGTTGTCCCTCATGTAGGAGACGGGCAAACTATTTCAAGAAAACAACACAGAACCTTAAAGATTTCCACTCTTAGCAGTCTCAGCACGGAAGCAGCTGCCTGTCCCTGATTCAGTCTTCTCACTCTCACCAGGCTATTTCCTTTTCAGCTGCCTGTTCAGCCTTTTTTCTTGACGCTTTTTCAGCCTTCTTTGGATGTTCCAGCTAAATACACTTCCCTGTCCTTTCCAAGAGCTCTGCTACAAGCTCAGCCTTCTCCTGAGCTCTTTTAAAGCTTCATCTGGACTCTCAGCAGACAATATAACCAGATTTGCTCACTTTGGGATTATATCAGAAGTCATGCAAGAAGCTAGTTCCTTCTTTATGTGTTGGGATAAAATAAGTTCTTTATATCTGTGCCCTTACATCACAATGTAAATTTGTTGCTGCGCTTTGAGAATAGAACCAGCAAGAACTTTGCCATCCTTGGGAATAAAAAAAAAACCACAACAAAACCCCAAAACAACCCACAGGTTGGATTATGTCTGTGCTCCTCCCTAAAAGGTCAGATCATCCTGTTAGAAGTACACAAAACTGAGCTTTTTGTTTGCTCATAAAATGTTGAATAATACAACCCAAAGTACTTCTCCTTATCGCAGGGTTGGTTTTAGGCTGGTTATTCCACAATTATTTAATTTGTAGAAATGGATAAGTATCCTGAGTCTAAACTTGTTAGGATCCACACTAGAAATCAAAGTTAAGAGTATGCCACAACTGTGTTGGAATAAGGAGGCTTTCCAAATATGATAGGTTAATCTGTTTTCCTCACTGTTCAGGTGACTGTGATTGGATACACCCTTGGGATACCAGATGTGATCATGGGCATTACTTTCCTAGCTGCAGGAACAAGCGTCCCAGACTGCATGGCCAGCTTAATAGTAGCAAGACAAGGTACTGTGTCAGCTGAAGCATAACTGCAATCTTACATACGTGCTCTGTGATTTGCTTCCTCCATACACACAAATTCTCAATGCAATATTGCCCTTTTTTTTTTCTTGTATTTTTACTGTTTCAGGGCCTCTTTAAAAGTGAAACCACTTTTCTAGTATTGTGAACTAAAAAAATTATCCCTGTCCTGTTATCTTTTGCTTATTTTGGACTGGACACATACTAGCATTCTAGAAGGTCATTCAACACTCATATATCCCATGTATCTATCAGTCAGGCTAAAAAGATAAAAGAAGTAGACAAAATATCAGCTATTAAAAACTATATTGAAAAATATATGCTGACCAGCACTTGTCCATGTAAAACTTATACTGATTCCTAGAAGACCCCTGGAACCCAGGGAAGTGGTCTAAGAGGACCTGGCAGAAGTGATGTTGCTCCAGGTGAGTGCTGTTGCTCATCCCAATGCAGACCTCTTTCCCACTGGGATGTATGGATAGCTGCACTGGAAAGGGTTTTAGATAAATGTCAGCTATGTCCTCACCAGCTTTCCAATTGAAATTGTCAAAGGCTTTCTCATGTATCTTTAAGTTTTGATTAAAGTTCTTTACATTTCCTTTCCTACTTGAGAAATACCGGGAGCCACATCCCTTCCTGTTGTTGAAAAACATTAAACCTGACAGTATGATCTCCTATACTGCAGTAGAATAAGAAAAGTTCCTAATTGTATTCTTTTCCAGTATTCCAATTCCTTGGTCTTCTCTCTTTTTTTTTTTTTTCCAGACAATGAGATCTCCCGCAACAAGGGTTGTAAAGTGATAAATTAAGTACTAGAAGCTTTGAGATAGGAGTATTGCTGTTGAATGTTGCTTGATTTAAAAAAAAAATAAATTAAAATATTTAATTTTCCATGTTGTATTATTTGTTGTGTGCAGGAAAATCTCACAAAAAGCTGTACAAAAAAGTATTCAGAATTCTTATGGAACCACATTCCTACTAAATTACTTTTCCATATGTAGTATTAAAGCGAACAGATTTTTGCAAGAACAGAAGGAAAACATGTTACATTTTAAAATGAACAGGCTGCTTCTTTAGATTGGTTCTTCTTTAGTATTAGGCAAAACTAGTGTAGGATTGTTTCTCTGAAAGTGAAGGTAAGCAGTAGTTTGGCAATAAGCAGCCCCATCCTCTCAAAGACAATACAGGGACTTTGCACTACTTGGATTCGAGAGAGATTTTTACTGACAGATTGCAGACAAGTATCTAAAAAGGAGAGACAGACACTACCATAATATGGATCCAAAGCATAACCTTTCTCTCAGCAGATTCCTGCAAGAGGACACAGTACTTCTGGTGTGGTAGTGTCTATCTCCACTCTGTACTCTCAAAGTATTTGTGGGACATGTCCCATTTACATCAGAGTTCCTCTTCCTTTCCAGGATTTACTTTGTGGAAGTAATTCAATAGTTAGGCCAGTGCCTAAGGGAAATTAGCCAGCACAGAGAAGAGGTCTGCTTTCCTCACATCCATTGATATTGTTGCAGAATGAGATGCCAGACAGTGATGAGCATTAGAAGTGGATTTTGAGCAATGCCTAGGGACTTCACAACCATTCACTTTGTTTTTTCCTTTCCTATAGCATTTTATTGTTCCTGAAGTGAAATTATTTCTGATTAAGCCCCACAGAAGTGCTTAATGTCTTTGACTACCATCTGGTTGGGTTCTTTTCAGGATCACTTTTCATCATTCACATGAGATAAAGGCCACATGACCACATGCTAAATACAGTACGTAATCTCCAAGTTCCCTGTGGCTGCAGACTACCTAGAACAAGGCTTGTTTTTTTTAATTGGCATTGAACTCAGATGCTGAATGGGTACCACACACAGAGTAAAGACTCTCCAAGACACAAGGAAGGTGTAGTTGGAGTGATCAATTTTTGCACACTTTTTTTAGAAGTCATGCAAAGATTATGGAAATTGTCTCCCTACCTCAAATACTCTTGCCAGCCCAATGGGGCTTGGTTCAATGCAGATCATTTCCTCTAGTACACAGAGTAATGGTCCTATATTTTATTTTTACCCAGGAGTTGTGTTTTTTTTCTCTGCAGGCCTTGGTGACATGGCCGTATCCAACACAATAGGAAGCAATGTCTTTGACATTCTGGTGGGCCTTGGCATTCCATGGGGTTTGCAGACCATGGCGATTGATTGTGGATCAACTGTATGTATACCTGCAAGTCTTTAATTTGTTATTTTCGTCTGTTTAAAAAAATATATCCTAAAAAGAAGGTATGCAAATAAATTTTTGGAAAGAAAGCAACAACCTGCCAAGAATGTTATTGGTTGCTAAGTAAGGTGTTATTTCTTTGCCAAGGAACCAGGAGTTAAGGAAGCAATTCTTCTTCCATAAGCTGCAATTAATTCCTAGTTTGTCAACTGGAGTACATTATACTGTATAACAGAAAAATAGCGCCATGGATATCTGTTCATTGGCTCTGTTATTTTCTCACTACGGAGTTTCAAGCACACCAGTGTGTCTTCCTGTACCTTAGTATTTTTGGCTGTAAGATGAGAATAACAGCATATATCTCTCTCTCCTGAGACTCTTTTAACATAATATCCATTATAAATGTTGAATGTTTTTCTTATGGTGGTGGGATTACTTATAAATTTGTTTTGATTCCTTAGCCTTCCCGTTCTTCATTATGATAAATCTGTCATGGATTTGCATAGTTTAAAATGTGTAAATCAGTTTCTATTCAAAACAGAAGGTGGACCATAGATCAATAAATTGATTTCTGATCTGCCAAGCACAATTATTATATGCTGAGAATTTAGAAAATCTCTCCTCTAATTCCCACAGGTTAAGATTAACAGCAAAGGACTGGTCTATTCAGTTGCACTCTTGCTAGGATCAGTGGCACTTACTGTAAGTATTTGAGTGTCTCCAAGTATGCCAGTTGCAAAATACTTAATTAGTTATTTACATAATATAGAAGGACAAAATGGAAATACTTATTATTCCTAAAGCACTGATTCTTGTAAAGTATCATTCTAGCAATACCATGAGTTGGAGAGCTACCATTGTCCTTGATGAGGACTGAAATCTTACAATTGGTGCAACAGATGCTGTATACATGTAGGTCCCCCTGGGGCAGTGTTGAAATTGTGAGATCCGATAATACTTCTCTGCCCCTTTGTCTAGCCGCATACCCTAGGCCTGTCTCTATGTTGGGACAAGACCCAGGTATGCTTCATCACCTTTTGCCTGTGTCTCTTTTACAAAACTAGCCTGGACTAATCAAATGCCATAGCCAAAACCCTTAATGAAGACTAGTGTGTGAAGGTATGAACCTCAGAACTTTGAATGGGCATGCTAAATGTCACTCAGCATAAGACACCCTTGTAATATATGACTTGTTAAGGTGAAACAATAATTCTGTTTCAAAAGTCAATTTTGCTGGTACTTAAGGTCTGATCCTGCTGACTCTCAGGGAACCCTCTGTGGGAAGAATCATATCCCAAAGGTATAAAAATATCCACTTATACTAATGTCTTTTACTGACTGCCTGTGGAGGCTCTGTAAAGGAGGGGATTATCACTGGAGATTTCACACTATTGCATGACTAAGTCTTACAAAACTCCACATCACCTGTGCACAACTTAAATGATAGAATGACCAGGGCTGTTCACTCTGCCACTGACTTCCTAACGCATTTGATGCGTAAGCTTTGGGAGCTTGTTCTTTTCTTATCTCTGGTTCTGTCGTACTGCACAGTGCCTGTGAAACCGCAAAGATGTTCTGTAGACAATTGTATCTGATGTCGCTGCATGCATATTGGTAATCAGCACTTCGGAAAAAGGATGTGTTTCTATGCTAGCTGTTTCTGTTTTCCCGAAGAGAGACTTTTCATAGCAGAAGCTGTATCACCTGAGCTTAAAGCATTTATTACTGTCTCATTTGTTCTGATGGCTACCCCAATTCACACAGACCCTCCTAGCAAAATTCAGTGGAGAGATTTGAGCAAAACAAATAATAATTCAGAGACACTCAACACCACTGAAAATAGATGTCTTTGTGAGGAGTTCATTGCTTTGCTACTTGTAACTTGTAGCTCTCCTTAGTTGTGGCTGAGCAAAACATCAAAAAAATCACTTCTTCTGAAGCTGTTGAAAGAATGAACATTAGGCGCTGGTATACTACTGGGACATAAAGGATCTGTAGGGGAACACTGGAGGGAGAAGCATTCATGTAGTTCAGTGCATTCCTTTAGTTCATACTGAATCAGTGAAGGAGTGCTGCCTGACTAGAACGTTCCCCATTACTGAAAATGTACCACATACTGAGACTGAGCACCTAGGAGCCTGTTTCTCAGTTACGTAAAGAACTTGTGAAGGGGCCTCAAAGTGGGTTCATTTAATATTTTGTGAAAGGATCTTAGGACAACTGAGAGTCAGGCCAGAGTTTGAGTTCTTAGTTTGGGCTTTTACATGAATTTTCTTGACCAGAAAAATGTATGTTGCCTTTTTAAACTATAAAATTTAGAGAATATTTTTTTTTATCTTCATTCAGGATCTCTTAATTCAAGAGACTCATTTTTGGCTTATAATGGTTGTTTCCAAAAGTCTACACTGGGGCTTAATTAACTAACACTTTGTTTGCTTGCAGGTGTTTGGAATCCATGTAAATAAGTGGAAACTGGACAGGAAATTAGGCATCTACGTCTTGTTTCTTTATGCCATTTTCCTGTGTTTCTCTATATTGATAGAGTTTAATGTCTTCACCTTTGTCAACTTCCCCATGTGCCGAGAAGAACTTTAAACCACAAAAAGGAGAGAGACTGAAATTCTTCTGATTACATGTGCTGTAAATGACAGGAGGCATTTCACATTTCTATCTTCTTCCATCAGTAATTTGAGTGTCGTTCCTGCTTCCTCAGCTAACAAGCACTTTTACCTGTGTGGAAGGAAAGCATACCTTTCTTTTAACATGCTAGCTCAAGGCAACCAAAGCATTTTCCTCCTTTTTGGATATTGCTGCTCAGTCATAAAGCTGTGTGGATCTTATACAGAACTCTAAAATGACCCATTTCTGGGACATTCTGTTGTGGTTTTCATTCTCCTTTTGCAGACAATCAACACCACCACCAAGGTTAGCAAAAGGATGGGAGAAAAATCTTTATCGTTCTTTTGGTTTTGACATTTACTTTCCACGGAAGGATAAGAGGCAAGTTCAGAACTATTCTTGGCTCAGTCAAAATATCTCAACTACAGGACCAGAAAGTCCCAAGGCACATATCATGGCATGCACTGTTGAGGACATCATTTCCCCCTTCAAGTGCTCTGCGTATAGAGGAACTGGACTGATGGTTTGGAATGGCAGTGTGGAATATTTACCACTCTTTCAGTGAACATGAACAATGTGGCAGAGAAGGAAGAGGAAATGGTTTTATGTTGTATCACTTGTGATGATGCACACTAAAAGTCAGAGTATCTGCATACTGAAGAAGAGAATTACATGCAGAAATTCTTACTTGAAAAATAGGTTTTACCGTTAATGAGGAATGCTGTATACATATATATAAACTAACATTTGTGGATTACACCACAAAAAAAACTTTGCTTTGGCCCTTGTATGCCCATTGTGTAAATTTAGAAGAAACTAAACAAATAAAATATAACTGGGTGCTCAGTAACTATCAGTTATTGTTATCAGCTGAGAGTAGTATCTGAACATAATCCAGACTTTCTTACAACAAACCTCACCCTGATTATGATTTGATCTGATGGGTAGGAGGAAGGAGTTTATATCATCAGTCAAGAAACTGGTGTAATCTCCATTTTTTTATTTATTCCCAGAAGTTTAATGAAGATGAGTGTTTGACACTGAGCAGTGCAGATAAGAAACACCTAAACAAAAGCAAGTCTGTCAAAAGATTATGGTCCTTGATTTGATTGCATGCAAGTTTTGAAGCATGGTATACTTCTTTTTAACCCCCGGTATAAGCCAAGTTTTGATATCCTTTCAACCAGCATAAATCTGATACAAGGAATTACTCTGGATGTAACTAACAGCAAGATCTGATCAGAGTATTAAAAATAATGGGTAACATTCCACACTGTAGCAGTCATATGATTGCAAATCACTGAGACAGTATGTTTTGAATTGCTACTGACTTTAAAAATATTTTAAAACTGTATGTGAATGATCACATAAAATTTCTAAAGAAGCACAGTTAATTTTATACATAGATTTTTTAATTTTTTTAATGTTTATAAACCAAAACAAATCTACCAAGTAACAGTTGATGCATTTTAAAATATATTAATATTTTGCACTTAAAACTATACATAAAAAATCCCATTTTTGTGTCAATGAGGATATCCTACAAAACCTTACCAAATATACTCTTATTCAGAAAATTCCTTATTTTGACATATATGATAAATAATTATGTCTAGCCAGCTCACATGCATAATACTGTTTACGCCAGGCAATGTGTTTACAATTAAGGCTATTTAAAAAACTATTTTGGTACAAATTAAGTAATGTATTCTGCTGTTGAATTTTTCTAGGAATTGGATCCTTTCAATGTAATCCTAAGGAAAGAAGAGCAACATGTTATTTGCTTTACAACTTTGTTATGAATGTCAGTATTTGTACCCATTTAGGGTTTTTCACCTTAATTAAGTAGTTACATAGTTAAAGTAGCCAGTCCTAAAGGTGGCAACAAATACAGCATTATCAAAATGCTTTATTGAATAGGCAAGCATGACAGTAAGCACATTTGAGCTCAAGTATGCCAGTGGCCCCATTTCCAGGCATTCAAGATATTTTTGCTGCAGTGTAAAGCTGAGGAGATGGAATTCATAGTCATCTTTATATGCAGAAAGGCTGTGAAGATGCAGCATACTGCTGCACCACTGTGGGAGCATCCCTCTTTAGTCTTACTCTCTGCTGTCTTTCAGGAGGACAGTTTGCTGCTGAAAAACTTGTGATGGCTTAGATATGAGGCTGAAAGGAGCAGAGAGAGAGGCTGAGTAAATGTTTTTTTCCTATATTCTGCTGTTGGGTGGGCTTGGAGAACTACCTGTCTCCAAGCAAACATTTGCTCCTCTGTTCACAGTTCAGGCAACTCAGATGTCTTTACATGACAGAAGAGTAGTTCCAAAATCTAGTTTTGAATGCCTAGCAATCAGCTGAGTTGACAGTGATGAGGGCATCAATGTTTACAGTGCCAGACCTAGCAAATTTTACTGTACCTTCATATTTTTCAACTTTAGAAAACTAGGGGCAACAATCTGTTCTGTAGCAGCTGATCCCCAGCCCAAATATGCATGAAATGGTGTTTGCTAATGCCATGAATCCGTCAGACATCATTTAGAATTATTCTGCCTAAATTGAATGTCATAGAATCATAGGATGGTTTAGGTTGAAAGGGACCTTAAAGATCATCCAGTTCCACCCCCCTGCCATGGGCAGGGACACCTTCCACTAGACCAGGTTGGCCAAAGCCCCGTCCAACCTGGCCTGGAACACTGCCAGGGAGGGGGCAGCCACAGCTTCTCTGGGCAACCTGTGCTAGTGTCTCACCACCCTCACAGGAAAGAATTTCTTACTTACATCTGAACTAAACCTACCCTTTTTCTGTTTAAAACTGTTACCCCTTGTCCTATCACTCCAATCCCTGATAGAGTCCCTCCCTGTCTTTTCTGTAGGCCCCCTTTATGTAATGGAATCCACTATAAAGTCTCCCTAGACCTCCTCCAGAAAATCAGAGTTTCTGTTGCAGCAAGAGACTGTCTCAGAAGATAATACTGACCTTAAATTGCATGGCTGGTCCTGTCATCTGTAGCCTTCCCCAGAACATAGACCCACTTCAGGACATTTTATATTGAATTCTATGCGGCATTTCATGAGGTGGTCTCATATGCATATTATCTATGCTGTGAGACAGGTATCATGTCATGGTTATAATTACAAATAGCATTTGTGTGAATCTCCTCTGACACTACCCCACATGACCAGGATGTATTGCCAAAGAATTATTAGATGCTGTATCAGGGCCTTGATGACACACAGTCATATGAAGCAGTTTAAAGAGTCCCTGTGTAGTTGTCATCCATATGCTTAAATAAATAAATAAAGATGGCGGTTATAGACCAAGCCATGCAGATAAACTGAATGGCCTGAGAAAGATCTGATTGACAAATTGTATGTCAGATAAACCCACATCAGAATATATCAGCAATTCAGGAGGCTATTGCCAAGTAATAGCGGACTAGTGCCTTTCACATGTATATATATATAAAAAAATTGCTCATGTGGTCACAAAACCACTACAAATTTTGCCATTTTTCCAATCAAGGAGTGATTTGTGCTTCTCTCTGCAACTAGTACAGTTCTATATTGCATCTGTTCAGATTATGTCTGTAGAATTTTGTATCCATTTTTTTGTACTAATCATTGCAAAAGTTAGCTGGCTGAGTTTGGAATGTATGTCACAATGTTGTATAAGTTAATGTTAAGCTTGAGTGAAAAGAAAGCTGGTGGATGTGAGAGGGAAAACTGTTACTGTGATCTGAAAATTGCCAGCATACTAACACTGAAAAGTAATACAACTCAGAAAAAAAGATATCCCATATCCAGCAAAGCTTCACTTCAGTAGGATTGATTCCATGCTTAAAGCTAAGCATATATCCAAGTGCCTTGCTGGATTGTGTCCTAAGATGACAGCAGAGCATGGTTTCTAGGTTTTCTGTCATATTCAGGTCTTGTAATATTTTATGGCTTTGTAGTCTAAAGATTTTATTTCTTCCCCAAATTAAAAGGTTTGGCCAGAATCTGTGGACTTCTGCTCTGCTGATACTCCTTTGTATTTCTACTCTTATAAATAAGAGAGCTGGTTCTTTGTCAGACTTCAAAACTGTGCATCTGCCCTGGTGTACAAGCAGGAACAAAACTGCATTACAGCTGGCCAAGGAGAACTTTTAGCAGCTGTTTTCCACTGCAGTTCCACTGGAGTAGCACAGTCCCACATAGACCCTACAGACAGGGTGCAATCTTGTCTGTAGTGAGCAAGTGAGAGTGTTTCCATTGAGTTCAGCAGTTTCTGATTCCATTTATATATGATAACAATTGTACTGCATTATAAAGTTGTGTGATGGAAGTCCAGCTTCTGGTGCTCTGAATCCTACTGATTCATGGAAAGTATTGCCTGAGTAAAGATTTCAGGCTCAGGATCCACATGTCTAAATCTAAAAAGGTACAGTTCTGGTTATCATAACGACTATAGGATGCTCTAAGGGCTGCTCTCTGGGCTGAAGTCTAGCCTAGAAGAACACCTTAAGTCTTCCCAACAGGTACAGCATAGTCAACCATCTTTCTCCTGGCTCAGTCACTGGCGTGCCAATTTTATTTTATTTTTATATGCTTGCTGCAGCTGTAACAAACATATAATTAATTTGTGGGTTTAGATTCTATTTGTAAACATTCTCTCAACATGTAAACAAATGGAATAGGTCTTTACTAGTTTAATACTTAGCAATTATAAAGAAGATTTCTATTCTGTCTTTTATTTCCTTTGTGACTGTGCTTTAATTACACACACTTGTTTCTATTACATGTTTGCTCTAGTTGCACAAATCCCCCATGAGTTTTGTTGTCTTCCTTCCTTGGATTTCTTGCAATTGTAATGACATTTGTTTGCATCCTACCATTAGATGTTTTTGGAAGAGTGCTTTAAGCTGTGTAAATACTGCCTGATTGTTCATGCCAAGGAAAGATCAGACCTAACATAATATGAAACAGACACTAAA